GGTGAGGCTTGGTGGTGGTGCGGGGGGGCGCTGTGCTTGGGGTGCTGCCGGGTGTCCGGCTTTATGTGGTGCCATGGCTTTCTTTTCATCATCATAATCTAGACAGAATTTCCCTATTTCCATTTTCAGTTTTGGTTTCTGTTTACTTTCTTCTGAGGGCTTTGTTGTGCTTGTCAAAGTGTAATCTGGAGGTGGCCATAGGGAAGGAGAGCTGGTTCTTCCCCATAGCTGCTGTTGGGGTGCAGGGGGAGCGCTTCTGCTGTGCTGTTACGGTTGAACAGGGATGTGAAAGTGCGGCACCAGAGACTTTTGGGGCAGCTGTGCTGGAGGTGCTATTAAGGGTTTCCTAATGATCTCGTGTGTGTGTGTGTGTTCATGCTTGGTTTTTATTTTCAAGTTGCTCTCCTACCAACATCTTTTTCTTATTTCATGCCCTGATATTATTTCTATATATGGGGTTAATGCACGCTTTTCTTTATGGTCATCTGTCATTACCCCAACCCCTCTGAGTTATTTGGCCTCAATGTGTTGATATTTATAAATAAATGCATGAATGTCATGAAGGATTTTTCATCAACTATTCATGCAATGATTGTGATTTCTAGATTTTTGTGGTTTTGGTGTGCATTGAATTTGTTATAGAAATCAGACAACATTAGGTGTCTGGGAGGCACCAGGAGGTGAGAATATTTGTCTTTGACATGCTGGTCTGCTTACATCTAGAAAGTGAAAGTGGGCAGAGTCCCAAGTGCCAGTCGTCATTGCTTCCGGGGAAGCTTCTAGCAGAGAGAGGTGCTCATGGCTGCTGATACAGCGAGAACAGGGTTTTCTCCTGATGTTTGGGAGGGGATTCTTTTTTAATTTAACTCATTTTCTTAATATGAATATTCTGTTTATTATTTTTTTATTGTTACTGTGTGTATTAGATTGGCGTATGCTATCTTTTCTGTTAGTCAGTTGCAGGCTGCCTGTGTAGCAGAGATGTTACAAATGCCTCAGCTGGTGTGCGTGATACCTAGCAAGCTGCTCCGTGGGGCTTAAATCTGTTACATCAGATCACTTGTTATTTTTCAGTCCTTGTCTGTCTCACCTTTTGAATCTATTCCTGATATTTCAGTTTTGACTTGAGGCACCTTCTCCTGCATGCCTTCTGTAGGTCAGGAAATACCCACGGTGTTCGAAGAGCACAGTATCTCTTTTGATGTTTTCCTGTGGGTGGTCATGCAGTGCAAAGATAACTGACATGCAGTCATATTTTCTAATGATTTTTTGTTTTGAATATGTGTATGCACAGGTGTGTGGGACAGGAATATGTAGTGCTGATGTGTCTTTCCCCTACCTGAGAGGCAGAATGATTGCAATCCTTAGACCCTGTTCTCATGTGAATTTGGTTATATTTTGTCCAGTTTATATAGGGAAAATGCTAGTGTGTCTGGTCCAGTTCATATCTCTTCTCCAATTCTGCTTTTTGTGTCATTTTCCTTGGAAGGAGACAGGAGTGCTGTTTTGAGTAATCTGCTAAGACTTTCAGTGTGAATTTGGTTGTTTTGTTAAACGATTCATGCCAGAGTTGGTAAGGTGGAATTACTTGAGAAGGAAAGGATGATGAAATATATCACCATTTCAAGTTGCAGAAAGCACCTGCAATACTAAATCATTGCTGGATTATTTCATGTTCAGTGATGGAGGACTGGGTGTAGGAAACAGGGGTGATGCACAGAAATGCAGCAAGGTGGAAGGTGCTGTCAACTCAGAAAGCATTTGGGGTGCTGGGGTATGAAGAAGGAGGATGTTTTTCTAGTGTTGGAGAATGTATGGAAATGGATATATTACTGGTTAAAGCATTAACTCTTGATGGATTGGGGGTGATAACGAGTAAACCATAAGAAATAGGAGGAAAACCGCTTAGCAGAGTGCCAGCCCCACATATGGAGTTTTCCCAGAGAGGGAAAGGCAAATTTTTACCTCCCCACCGCCCCCTCTCCCTCCCCCCCAACCTGAAGACAAAATGCTGCTTTCGTTTTGCTGGTGTGTCCTGTCATCTTGGAGTGCAAGCTTTCTAGGGTGAGGACTGTCTTACCTTGCTGTAGAGGACCTAGAAGAATGATCTAAGGCAGTCGTCTCCACCTTTTTTGATCACACACGCCATCAGTAAAAAAATCTGTGAACACTCATCTGCAATACATTTTTATTTCTAAATTATATACATATGTTACTTTACTGATATGTATGCTATAAAACATACATAAAAATAAAAATGAAAAAATTTTAAAATTATCTTTATTAATGGTACCAAAAACATTTTCTTCATGCACCCCAATGGATTGTCTTGCACACCCCACTTTGGAAACTATTGATCTGAGATCTCCTGTAACATAGTTTAAATAAATTTTCCAGTCATCAGGTAGTAACTCTTTTTCTCCAATTTTTTTTTTTTTCCTTTTAATGTTTGTGCTCTTCACCTACTTGACGATTCAACTTAGAAAACAGAGCACGGTACAAGGGTAAAACCTTTGGACTACGTCCACAATTCGCTTACGGCCCTGGCCTGACCCCAGGTCTTTGGCCCCTGATGGTCTGTTGCTCTTCCAGGCATAGTCTCACTGGAAGGTCACAGCCCAGAGCTGAGGACTGGCAGGGGAAAGCATTTAGTTATTGCCTTTAACTTACCATGAAGAGATGAAGTATTTGTGTATAATATTAAAAATGTCTATAGAGTGGGTTTATTTTGAAGTTGAGGATCCAGGTACATCTTCAGTTCTGCTGTAAGCAAGGAAGTCGGCTTCTGCCCAAACTTCCTTTAGTTCTTCCTTTCTAAATTTTCTTATGTGTATAATATGGTGTTGCTAAGAGCTGTCCATCTCTGCTACAGTTTCAACTATTAATAAATGATGTTGTCTCTTTCCAAGGATTACTATGGAATTACATTCCCTGCTCCTGCAACCTTGACAGGCAGAGATGGGAGCCTTGCTAACAACCCATACTCAGGTGAGTGCAATTTAAAGATGAGGATGGTAGGTGAGATGTGCTGGTTCGTAAATCCAGGTCATCCTGCTGTTGCTGAAACAGCAATCATTTTTCCCTTCTGTAAGCAGTTAAACCCATCAGTCCAAACTAGTCCAAACAAAAGCGAGCATCTCCCTTTCAACCCTGACACTGATGTTTCTTCATGGTCTTGGTCTGTAATTCATACATGATTTCTTCTGGGACTAAGTTGGATAGCCTTTGCGAATAAGTGCAAAATTGTTATGAATGTAAACAGCAGTGTCATCTAGTGCCCTTACTGAGCATATACAGGTGCTTTAAAAATATTCCATAGCTTAGTCTTTCATCTCAAAATTCAACTGGCTTGCTTTCCTTTTTTGGCACTGCAATAGACCCCCCCTCAGTAGCTGCCCATACTTTGTTACTGCTATTTTAGCACTTGTATGTTCCCAGCAGGAGCTGCATCTAGTAGGCTCTCCCTCACCCTCCCCAAATCTAATGGACTTTATTCCCAAAAGCCTCTGATCTAAGCAGCCCTTCCTAATTCCTGCTCTTGCTCTTCGGTTACCAGCACTGATGACATTAATGCCATCCAGGATTTTCAGCCAGTGTTTTTCATCCACTGCCATCTGATTACAGCTTAAAACTGTAGCCATAGGCGTTATAATTCCTATAATGATGGTATTAAGTATTGTCATAATTCTTGGTAACCGACAAAAAGGAACAGTGGTTGGGAATGATATAGATGTGATTGATGTATGTCACCTCCCTAAAAAACATGTGAACATGCTCTGTAGGCTGCCAGAAAATGCAAGTGTTTGGGAGTTTTCTGCTTCGTAATCACTTCTCTCGGGAAGCTGCTTTTGGGTTAATAACCAAATTTCCCTTCCTACTTCTTCAATAAGGTGGCGCTCAATGCAAGCGTTGCTTTCCTGGCTTTCAGCTACTGTCTCCAAAACTTTGGTGGTGTGAGGAACTGGACATCTAACTAGTCATGCTTGACAAATAAAGACATTGACAAAAATACGCCCATCACTGCTTGTAAATCCTAACTTGCTTTCAGCCCATGAAGCTTAGCTAATCAGTTTAACCTCCAGGAGAGTCACACTTTAACCCATCAACCATTTGCTCTTTGGCTATTTAGCATACTTCTGCTTTTAGCATGTTTTATTGCAGTGATCTGACAGTAATGAATCTGCTCAGACCATGTGAGATAGGTAAGTATTGATGTCTCCATTTTATCAATGGATTAGCCACGGCACGGTGTTCAGTGCCACGAACAGGCAATGTACCTGTGGCCATCAGGAACAGAGACCAGGAGAGCGCTTCCCATGAACAACTGCAGGCTTTCAAGTGTAGGATGTGCTCTATTCTGTAGTTTTCTACTTGTATTCAGAGGATTTGAATCCTTTCAGTCCACCACGTTTGGAGTAGCTTTGATAGCTTTTCTTATCAGTTCTTTCTTTTGCAGGTGACGTAACAAAATTTGGCCGTGGGGATTCTGCCTCTCCTGCTCCTGCTACGACGCTTGCCCAGCCACAGCAGAACCAGACACAGACTCACCATACAACTCAGCAGCCCTTCCTCAACCCAACCTTGCCCCCAGGGTACAGCTACACTGGGTTACCTTATTATGCTGGTGTGCCCGGCGTACCCAGTGCATTCCAGTATGGGCCAACCATGTTTGTAAGTCTGACAGCCTAAACTGTAGCCCTCCTTTCGCACCTCTTGTTTTGCTCTCTCCAGCCCAAACCTTCTACATCTTGGAAGCACAGGATAGTTTGGGTTGGAAGGGACCTTCAAAGATCACCTAGTTACAACCCCCCTGTCAAGGGCAGGGACGTCTTTCACTAGGTTAGGCTGCTCAAAGCCCCATCCAACCTGACCTTGAACACTTCCAATGTCAGGGCACCCATAACTTCTCTGGGCAACCTGTTCCAGTCTCTTATCACGTCACCATTATAAAAAATGTCTTTCTCATGTCCAGTCTAAACCTACCGTCTTTCAGTTGCCCTTTTTCCTTTCACTACAGGGCCTGGTGAAAATTTTTTCTCCGTCTTTCTTACAAGCCCCCTTTAAGTATTGAAGGACCACAATAAGGTCTCCTTGGAGCCTTCTCTTCTTCAGGCTGTACAACCCCAGATCTCAGCTTTTCTTCATAGGAGAGGTGTTCCAACACTCTGATCGTCTTTGTGGCCATCCTCTGGACCTCTTCTAAAAGGTCCATGTCTTTCTTTTACTGGGGACCCTAGAGCTGGATGCAGTACTCCAGGTTGGGTCTCGCAATAATGGCGTAGTGTTGTCTTCCCCAGTCTGCAAGGGATCTCCAAAAACGTGCAAACATGAGAAAAAAGGTGCCGTCCCTTCCCCAAGCAAACAGGTAATTTAAAAGGCCAGAACTCATGGACTCCTGGACAGGTTACTGTAAATATCAGACAGCTGCAGTTCATGCACTCTATGTTCCTGAAAGCCCTTACTAGTCTCTGGAGAGTCAGCAAGCTGAAAGTGCCTAGGAAATCCTTTTGAGGATGGAGCAGGCCCCATTAAGTCAGAGAGCAGCACTGGTAGTCTCAGGAGGAAGAAGGTTATTTGGGAAGAGGTGGTGCTCCAGGCTGAAGGGCAGAGGAGTCTATTTTAGAGTCCTGTAGGACTGTGTTTTATGAAACAGCGTCAGGCAGGAGTTGGTGTTTCATTTGATTCTGGGGGGAGAGCACTGTGGTTGCTCCTTCTTTGGCTCGTGGTCAAGAATTTGCTGTTTACAGTCAGTGTATGAAAGAAGTATGCCACCTGTTCAGAGACAGGGTGGCAGAGCAATCAGAGGGACGGTTCTAGCAGAAAACCTGGGGCTTGCACAAATCCACTACAGCAAGTTACTGCTGGAAGCATGAGTGCCGTGTCCCATGCCACCCCAGTGCTCACAGCTCCAGATTAAATTTCCCACATAAGGTGGAGGTGCCTTCCCCACTAGATGGCAGAGGTAGCTTGCATCTTCTGTGCTGTTCCCCAGTTAAGGGCACCTTTTGTTCCCTTCCTTTGTCCAGGTACCTCCAGCATCTGCTAAACAGCATGGAGTCAACCTGAACACTGCGTCAACTCCTTTCCAGCAAGCGAGTGGCTATGGGCAGCACAGCTATGGAGCAGGTATGCTTACCACTGTGCTTTTCACGTGAGCGTCTGCAGAGCTGCTTGTACGCTGTAACACTTTGTCTTGTACACACCGGCAGGCTATGATGACTTAACGCAGGGAACGGCAGCTGGAGATTACAGCAAAGGAGGCTACAGTGGGTCATCTCAAGCACAAAACAAATCTGCTGGCACTGGACCTGGGAAAGGTAACACATGAGACTTGAGATTGCTCGAGTGGGATTTAGTAGGGCAAACTCCCAGTATTGCCAGTGCTGTGCAGTCAACACAGCAGCCAGCTCTAAACAGGGTCACAATCCAAGCTGTTTCTCCATCTCCCGTATACAAAGTGCTTTTCTTAATGGCCCAAGTCTTCCTTCTAAACCTCATGGCTGAACTTTGCATAAGGATTTGTGTGGCTGATGCGCAGCTTTGTCCACAGTTATACTTGGGAGAAATGGTGAGCTGTTTTCCTCTGCCAAAGTTTTCTTTGCTGAAGAATAGTGGTCATACAGCAGTGTTGTGTTTTTGAAGCCTAAGCTGTTGGATGCTGCTACTGAAATGGTCCTCTGCCAAATGAAGACTTGATTTTGAGTTTCTTGGTAGGCACCTGAAATAGCCATGTGTTAGAGGTGAGCAGAGCAGTTCACACATCTCTGGGCTATTGTTTCAGCTGCTGTCCATCCACCCTGTAACTCATCACATTGTTTCATGCCTGGAAATGTTTCCTTTGTGACTGTAAAGGCTGAAGAATTTATATAGCTTATATGAAAGCGTTATTCTGCACATGCTGGTTAGACCTGAGAAATGTGTACTGAACTGCTTAGCACTAACTAGTTCATCCTTGGGCTTAAGCAAATACCAAGCATTTGATGTGCATTTGAAACACCAACTGGGCTGTCTTAAGCCAAGTGCTGATCATGCTTTCCTCTGTGGAGAGGCAATCTAAAAAAGAGCAATGTCCTAGGAAGGGTACAACGTTAGAGCAGTGCACACCCTCTTGAGTCCAGTCGTCTGATTCACTGGTCAAAGGAACTCTCTTTTTATTCTGATCCAAGTGAAATTATTAGAGCCAGTCTTTGTAAGACTGTGAGTAAGTGGCTGGTTTGAGAGTCACCTCACTGCTAAGTGTGTGTTTCTGAGCCTGTGGTGGCTCCAGCGGGCTCAGGTGGAAACCAGCCTGAATCAGTGATACTAATTCTCTCAGGGTAGAAGGGCATTGCAGACCTCACCCTTCTGGCAGAATGTGGAAGGGCAAGGGCTCAAATGTGTAGCAGATGCTGAGTCTCATCGCTCAGTGTAGCACTGCAAAGCTCTTGAATGCTGCAGTAGAGCCAAATGCACCCCTAATCCTAGGGGAAAGCGGGCTTTTTGCAAGCTTAAATGAGTGCCACCAGCTGCTGCCTGGTGAAACGCATTTGAATCCAAGCAGTAACCACTGGGTCGTAGACATGGGTGATGTATCGCAGTGGGCTGATTTCCGCTTTGCATCAGGAGCAAGGAACTGAGCCCTTTTTTCTGTTTGCTTGTGGGTTGCTGTGGGTCTGAAAGCAGAGAGAACCCTGCCAGGCTGGCTGGCAGCTGCAGCAGGGCTTGTGGCGGTTTACTTTCTCATTGTCTGTGGCTATTTTTTTGTTTTCCAGGTGTTTCTGTGACCTCAAGTAACACAGGTGTGCCTGATATCAGTGGCTCAGTCTATAACAAGACTCAGGTGAACTAGCCCTTCCTCCCTTGTGGTCTAGACCACTGGCTGCCCCTGCAGAGTACTGGTGGCTGGGACCGTTGCCAGGATGGTCGGTCTCAGGGTCAGCTGCCATGGCATTTCTTACACCAGCTCTGTTTGGTGTGGGAGAGGAGTCTCGTTCTCTGTCGCACCAATTCTGTCATGTCAGCTCCTGACCTGGCATAGCAGCTCTGCGCTGCTGCATGCTGCCTGCTCTGCCCCACATATGCCGTGTCCTGGGTGCAAATGAAATGTGACGGCGCTAATGTTTTTAGTCAAAATAGCCCCCAGAGCAGGTGAGTCGAGAGGCGATTTGCTTTCCACCAGAGAGACTGGTCAGTAGTGCCCACCCCTAACACCCAAGGGTCTCTGTCCCACAACCTCCTGTGACTGTTGCTCAGCGTGCACCTTCCCAGGGAAAACAGAAAGTGCTTTGACAAGCTGTGGTGTGCAGAGGGCTTCTGTCTGGCTCCTGATTTCCCATCCTTGCACCCTCAGCTGGGCAAATGGGTGGCTGGCTGTGATCCATGCTTACAGGTAGGAAGCCAGCTCTCAGCTACATCCTTAGCATTAGGGGCCAATCATTGGCAACGGGGAGGAAAATGTTATTGCAAGTTCTTCTTGCGCTTTTGTTGGGCCGCCCTGGGTAGGTCAGGTAATTCCAGGCTGAGCCCCTGCAGTGTGTGAAGGACTGATTTCAGGCAGCTGCTGCTATCCCATGTCCCACTGAGTAAAAAGAGGTGAGGGGAAAAAAGGAACACAGTGGCTGTGGAAATGAAAGTAAAATAAAATGTTGGAGGCATTAGTGCCTCATATGGGTGAGAACAGGAGCTGAAACACATCTGCTGAAGTGCTTGCAGGTATTCGGTGTGACTTGGCTTGCTCATGGGGTTGGTGAAAGGTTCAGGTGATGTGTGTTTGGTCCACTCTTGTTCTTGTCTGGTCTCCATGGAGTGTCTCACACTGGTCCCTGATGCTGTCCCCTTTACCTTCTGTGCAGACATTTGACAAGCAGGGATTCCACGCTGGCACACCACCTCCTTTCAGCCTGCCCTCTGCTCTTGGATCGACTGGGCCCCTGAACCCTGGTGCTGCCCCGGGTTATGCTCCAGCCCCGTTTCTCCATATCCTGCCTGCACATCAGCAGCCCCATTCCCAGATGCTGCATCACCATCTTCAGCAAGATGCACAGGTGAGTTGGCCCCTTCTGCCTCTACAGCATGCCCAAGGGCAGATTGCTCCCACCCACATCCCAGCAGGGTCTTGGGGGGTTTTGATTGCTTCTAGTTTTTGCTTTGCTCATTGTGAAAGGACCTTGACAATGACTGCAGGCTGGCAGACTCGATGCTGTCGACCAGCTTGGGGAGGGAACCTCATGAAGTTCAGCAAGGGGAAGTGAAAAGTCCTGCCCCTGGGCAGGAACAACCTCACGCACCAGTATATGGTAGGGGCCAAAGCAACTTGGCAGAAAAGTTGGGGGTCCTGGTGGATGCCAAGTTGACCTTGAGCCAACAACATGCCCTTGCCTCGAAGAAGGCCAATGGTATTCTTGGCTGCGTTAGGTGAAGTATCACCAGCAGGTCAAGGGAGGAGATCCTTCCTCTCTGCTCAGCACTTGTGAGGCCACAGCTGGAGTGCTGTGTCCGGTTCTGGGCTTCCCAGTACAAGAGAGACATCGATATACTGGAGAGAGTCCAACAAAGGGCCACAAGGATGATGAAGGAACTGGATCATCTCTCCTGTGAGGAAAGGCTGAGAGCGCTGGGACCATTCAGCCTGGAGAAGAGAAGGCTCAGTGTATGTAATTATCTGAAGGGGGAGTATAACAGGGGTGGAGCCAGGCTCTTCCAGTGGTGCCTAGTGACAGGACCAGAGGCAGTATACACAAAGTGAAACACAGGGGGTTCCCTCTCAACATTAGGAAACACTTCTTTACTGGTCACTAAGCACAGGCACAGGTTGCCTGGGGAGGTCGTGAACTCTCCATCCTTGGACCTGTCTGGACATTGTCCTGAGCAACCTGGCCATAGGTGACCCTGCTTGAGCAGAGGGGTTGGACAAGTTACCTCAAGAGGTCTCAGCCAGCCTGTGATTCTGTGAAGAGGCCATGCTGATACGGGGTGTGGAGAGATGGGCTGTGAGGTGTGAAGCTGAGGCAGGTGCTGCTGTCCCCTGGCTGCGGCAGGAGAGCAGGACATGAGCGCTTGTACTGTAACTCTGGGGGGAAAATCAAGCATCCCTTTGCAGGTTTATGTTGGCTCCAATTTCTGGTTTGGTTTCACCAGCCTGTGTGTTTCCAGTCCTCACTGTAAATGTTCCCTGAAAAAAGCATTCTGCGTTAGAGTCCAGAAATAGGAAATGACTTCTTTGAATGTGTGACATCCTTGGCTGGTACAGCGCCTCTGTGCACCTTGAGAGAGCTCTTTTGCTGTCCCCAGTCATCCTCCTCTCCCTCCTTCTGCTGGAACCTGGTGTGGGTGGGGGATGGTGCATGCCCGAGCTCCTGCTTGGTGTCTCTGTGGCCGTTTGTCCTGGACTGTGGGATGCGGAGATGTTGCAGAGCAGAAATGGATCCATTCAGGGGGGAGCATCACTGCATTGGTGGGTGTTGGAGCTGTCCCTGGAGGCAGCAGCTCTTCTGGGGATGTTCAGATGGGCTCAGCTTCCTGGGAGCACTGATGCCCATGTCTCCTTCCTTTCTGATTTCTAGGGAAGATCTGGCCAACGCAACCAACCCCCAGCACCATGCAACAAAAGTCTCAGGCTACCAAAACCACCTATGGCACTTCTCCATACTGGACAAACTGAATCTGAAACTGAGGAGGGGGGAGAGAATGAAAGGAGAAGAGGAGAAAAAACAAAAGAGAAAAGGAAAAAAAGCCGAAGCCCATTCCTGGAAATATTAGAAGATGTGACTGCTCAGCCAAATGTCTGTGTGGGGAGAACTGCAGCCAGCCAGCCATTCTGTGTGACTCGCCTGCTTCCTCTTTGAGTTGCTGTTGTATGTAATATATTTATGTATGTATTTGTAAATGTAATAGAGCCTAAATGTGGTTTTCTGCATCTTGCAGCCTGTTTTATTTTCTTTGTAGGAAAACTAATTATTCATTTCCCATCTGCACCAGGGCATCCTTCCTTGTTTTTGTTTTTTATTAAGCTCCATGGGCTTTATAACTCAGACAAACTGCACCGTTTTTTCTTTTTGAGCTGGAGCCCATTTATTTAACGCAGTTCTAAATTTAGGCAAATAAGGAGGCCTGGCCCACCCCCCCCAAAAAAAAAAGAATCAAAATGTGTCGTTTGATTTCTTCCCCCAATATAGCTGTTACTTTGAAGAGGAAAAAAATGTTTTGTGGGCCTTCCCCTTTCTTTCATCTCCCTCCTCCCTCATGCTGTGGAATTCTTGTGAGCAGTTTGGTCACTGTAGCCCTGAGTTGCAGCCTCACCTTTTTGTTTTTCAATTTTTGAATAATAATAAAATAAAATAAAAAAAAAGACAGGGTTTTCTTTTTTGTTTGTGGGTTTTTTTTAGTTTGTTTCTCTAGCAAGAGACTTTGGATGGCTCAGTGTGTTCTGGAACCTCCTTTGCATCATTAGAGGCAAAAATTATGTAGCGGTTTCTTAAATAAAAGTATAAGCTGTGTCTTGTACCTCTTTCTGCCCTGAGCCACCCTGCCCGGGAAAGCCAGAGCTCCTGGATGGAAACTTCACCTGTCCCTCCCCACTTTTTTTAAAACAAAGACCCTGGAGGCAACTCCTGGTTCTTCTTGTCCTGCACCAGTGCGGTGAATGTTATAGGGATTTCATTTCTTTTTACCCCTTCCTCCACCTAATAAAGATCTGAGCTTATCACTGGTGTTTGTCTGCATTTTCAAAGGCTCCAGGAGCAATTTTGCTTTTACAGCCTGTCCTTTTCTACCTGTTCCTGCAACAAAAGGGTCAGCTGGGAGGGTGAAAGCAGCAGACGCTGAATACCATGACTTCAGTGCTGAGAGCTCAAAGGGACTGGTGGCAGGGATGGGACGCTGGGCAGCACACTGACTCCTGCCATAAGCTTCACATCTCTGCCTTGAGTGTCCTTGGGCATCGTGCTCTGTCCGAGTCCCTGTGGAGCAGCTAGGAGGGAGCACAACTGCAGCACTGCCCGCCCTTGCTTTGCCTATGACATCTGTGGTCTCCACCAGGAGGAACGTCAGTGGTGAGGGGTCCTGACGGATGGCTCCTGCCCCAGCCTCCTCCTCCTCAGCATGCTGACCCCACACAGCAGAGGAGGTGGGTAAATGTGATGCCATACGTGTCCACACAGCAGCCAAGGGACCTTCTTGGACTTGCCAATTCTATTTCAAGACCCACCAAAAAAAAAAAAAAAATGTTTCTACTATGAGAACCACTTTTGTTTCTTAGAGTCACACTTTTACCAGCTTTCAGGTCCTGTGAGACCCAGTTGGCTTGGAAGAAGTCAGTGTGTCACCTGGCATTCCCCCTACCTCTGAGCAGCACAACGTGAACTGTGCTGGCCTTCCTCTGCCCCAGCTCGAGTTTTGATACTGGTCAAACTGCAGCAGCTCCTGGAAGCCCTTGGCAGCAGCTCCTGGAAGCCCTTGGCAGCTGCTGTCCCACTGCCACCCCCTTTGGGGCCTGAATGTCAAGGGGGCCAAAAATGTTTCTGCAGGCTGGGGACTTACTGCTGGCCTGTACAGGGGCTGCACCAGCAGCTGAGCCCACGGGGCTTACAGCAATGGCACCTCCTTTACCTGCGGTCAGAGCTGCTGCCTCACGGGAGCTGTTCTTTGAAAAACGCACTTGCCCAAAGCCATCGTCACACACTTAAGTTTCTTGTTTATAGAAGTCCACTGCTGTGGGTGGGTCAGTTTGTGCTTGTGTGTGAGGGTGTGGAATCAGTTGGCGGTGGCAAAAGACAACGCAGGAGAGTTGGTGCCAGCATATGGCAGCCCTCCCTGAGCCTCAGGTTTGCTGAAGAGCAGCATCAAGGGAGACGTCCTTGCAAGGACTTCAGCCAGTACTTTTCCCCTGTCCCCAGCTGCACAACTTCCACCTGCGGCAGTGGCTGTGGGCACAGAAGGGCAGCACTTCCAGGCCTGGAGGCTGTGTTGCCCTCCAGCACCCTCCTCTTCCCCAGCACAAGGCAGCAAAGGCAACTCCAGCACCTTCCCCGCTGCTCTGGGGTCCTGCCTGCAGGCAGCACAGTGCTCCCCTCTGCTCCAGGTGAGACGTCGCAGGATGGTTTCCCATTTCCTTACGCTGTTGGTTCAGGCAGGGCTCTTCTGCAGCAATTTCCTCTCTGATCCCCTGTTCTACAGACTGATGGTGGAGCCAAGGTTGCTCAGCTGCACTCAGCCATCACGGAAAGGGAAAAAAAAAAACCAAACCTGCGCAAGTGGCAGTGCAGGACAGGCTGGAGAGTTTGTCCTGCCTTTGGTACCACAGCTTCTGCCGGATAAAGAAGCTGCTGGTGACTGTGGGCAGCCTGGTGCTGCCAGAACCAGGCAGGAGGTACACACTGGTCTGATCCCTGTCAGAAAGCCCAGACTAGGCACCATCCCTCTCCCTCCTGTTCCCCACTGTTGACACTCCTCTGGGACTGCAGCCAAAATACCATCACCATTCCTCCAGCACAGCAGTGAAGCAGAAACACTCCGGCCCCAACTGCATTTGCCTCCACAGTTGCTGCGCTGCAAACAATGCCAAGTGCAGCAAGTGCAACTCCTGTACACTTGTCCTGCCAATTTTAGCTTGACTGTAGCAGAAAGGCACTGCAAAACCAAACTTCTCTGCTCTTGAGCTTGCAGGGAACAGCATGGCCCAGACAGGGAAAGCACACTGAAGGGCTGGCAGCGATGCCCCCCATTCCTCTGCCAGGCTTCTGCATGAGGTCAAAGCCCCTGTCCCAGCAACCCCCCCCAGACCCCGCTGCTGTGTCTGACCCTTTGAGGAACACTGTGCTCCAGCCCCACCAGGGAACCGGCCACCGGCAGCACACAGAGCAGCCGCAGCTCTGCCCCATGTCCTGTGTCCCTGCAGCAGTCCTACCTGACCATGAACCCTCTTCCCACTGGTCTCCCCTCTGCTGACCAAACATAACAGTGAAGCCCATGGCCTTCTGCTAAAGCACTGCTCTAAATCAGTTCGTTCTTTAGGCTTGGGCTGAGGCAGGCAGCTGTCAAACAGCAGCTTTATTTTCCAATAACCTTATAAATATCTATGTGTAGGTATAGGCGCTGGTACTGGAACAGCACTGAACGTGTGAGCAGCTGTTACTCAAAGCTTTAAATAACCCATGCAAATAAACCAGCTCAATTAAGAGGGAAGTAACAGTACAGGACTATTTTCATTTCACATTTTTATTAGTAGACAGATGTGCAGAAAAGACAAAATATAACTACTGAAGGGGAGGACAACACAAAAATGCATCAGTTAATTCTTTCTGGTAAATTATACTGAAGAAAGAAAGAAAAAAAAAAAAAGGAAAACAGCTGGGATTTCAGCTAAGAAAACTACTAAGAAATCTAGTGTACCCTGCTGGTTTCAGAATGGTTGAAAACTGCATTTGAAGGGGCTTGTAGTTGCAAATGTAAACGCTAACATTGGCTGAGACAGGAGAAAGATTTTTTTTAAAAAAAAAAAAACAACAAAACCAAACAACCCAGAATACACAGATCAGGTAAACATTTTCCTGCAATCTCTTAAATAGCTTCAAAAAAACCCTCATACTTCAGTTTGTATCTCAAAAAAGGAAACCAGCAAGTGAACAAGCAATGACACTGCACAGGACAGTGGGGAAATTAGTCTGGTTAATGTAGAAGCTCTCAAAATAGGGTGCTTTTTGTCTTTAAAAAAGGGTAACAGAAGAGTCATGATAATGCATCTTACAACACCGAGCTTGAAAATACAAGTCACTGGAGAGTATACAGTGAAGACGGTCAAAAGTACAAGGGAAATCCTGAAAGATGCAGTATGCTCATTTCAAACCAAGTCATCAGCACAGCCTGCGTTGCCATACTCTGCTCCTTCGCTCCCCAACAGCCCCCCCAAAAGCTGGAGGTCAGTGTCCCCGCACCAGCGCAGCCCCAAGAGGAGTCCTGCAGCTGGGAGCCCCAGAGACTCGTCTGCCAACAGCAGCGCTGCTCTCGCAGGGCTGGAGTGAAGCTGGCAGGTGCCCCACACCATCACTGGGTGCGGGGGGAACCCCCCTGCTGGCTCCAGAAAGCACCAGGGGCTGAGTCAGTCCTGGATGGAAGGATGAGCTGAAGCAGCCCATGTGGGACAGCTCTGGAGGGGTCCAGCTGCCTCCCCAGGAAAGATGCAAGCAGGAGGGCAGACCGTCCCAGGGAGCACTGGAGGGACAAGGTATCACCACTTTTGGGCTGCCTTGGCTCCGCAAGGGGGCAGAGGGACACACCACCAGCACAACCTGGGACAGAGGAGCAGGGATTGCCCCTGCTACAGCAAATCCCAGCCAAGCAACATTTTGAGAGCACGCCTGCCTTGCTCACATCAAACAGAGCCCCACCAGCCTTCCTCCCCTCCCCAAGGGCTGCCTTCCCCTCCTCTCCCTCCAGGCAGACCAAAGAACAAAGTTTACTCCCACCAAAGCACCCCTCTGGGGACCACAGCTGGTGACGTACCATTGAAAACCCTGAGATACACAAGGGGGAGGCACAAACCAATGCCCAATCCCGCAGCTCTTACCAGGGTAACTGCCTCTGTACCTACGGGAATGGAGGGTCTCACCCCAGCAGGGCCACCACCTCACCTCAGAGCTGCTCCTGGCAGCTCCAGGGCTCTGCGCAGGAGGGCAGGGATGGCTGCTCATCATGCGAGAGGCGAATTCAGGAGGCCACAGCACCACAGCTGAACAAGAGCACACTGCAACAAGGCGAGGGTGCTGAGGGGAGCCAAGGAAGAGGGTTCTGCAGAGATGAGCATGCAGGATCCCCCCCTCTGCCCACGAGGGAGGGCCCTAAACTCTGCCAAGAGCTCCCAAAAACATGCAGGAGGCCAAGTTCAGTGCACCAGCTGAAGCATGCTGCTAAATAGCCTGTCAAACCCTGTCCCTCAGGCCTTCTCTTCCAGCCCGAAAGCACTGTTTACCCCTCTCCTGTGGGGCTGCTAACACTCACCCGCGCCCCAGCCAGGGGAAAGCCGAGCACACATCCACCTCCTCCACCCCAGCCACAGCAGCCGCTGCGGGCACAGGGACAGCCTGGCCACCCCAGCCAGGCAAAGCAACCTTTGACTTCTGCTGACCCCGCAGAGCTGCATTTACCAACACAAGACCCACACAAGCAACAGAAAGAAGGCTCAGGCCAGCACCGGACTTGGGCTGCAGGAAGCAAGAGCTGCCAGCGAGCGCTGGGGCAGGAGGCTATCGGGCTCTCCAACTGCCAAAAACAAGTTTGGCACGAACATCAGCCCACTGGTCAGCAGGATGCACTTTTGTTCTCCTCCCTCTGGAGAGGGGCAGCTGGCAGCAGATCTCAGCAGCATGGCTAAACTGAACTTTTTCTACCCCAACCTAGTCTGAAAAAAAAAAATTAAAAATAAATAGCAACCCAGGGCTCAGTTCCACAGACATGAAGTGTTAAGTGTTTATTTTAGGGTTCATATCACAAGCCTTTTTCAGAGACAAAGCTGATTGTGCCCTCTGGGGCTCCATGGTCCAGCTATTGCTTAACTTGAGCAGGCTGAAAAGGAATACTCTACCTTTCAGTGACATCCCATCAAGCTCAACACACAGTAGCTTTACACTCTCCGCCCCACACCTTATAAAGGAAAAGCCACCACCACAAGGCTAAACGAATGTACACACGCTATTATTGTAAATGGAGCAGCTAAACCTTGGCAATTTGCTTCGTGTGGATTTTTCTTCCCCATAAATGCAGCACTTGAGCTCCCGAAAACCCAGCTTCCAATGGGTTTATTCCAGCTTTAAATACATTAAACATCTCAATGCAAGACTGTATTTAATTCAAGAACCTAAACGCGAGCAAACCTGTTTCGCTGTGAGCGGTTCGTCGAAGTGAAAAGGGGAGTTTCTTTTTTTTTTAAAAAAAAAAAATCATAATACAGTGATGAAAGGGTTAAGAATGCAAGAATTCAGACATTCTGTGGAGGGTCTCTAAGAGGTCCATAAAAAAGGAGCAAACAGATCCATACAACAGGAGACAGCAGGAGACAAAGTTTTTTTTTTTTGATCCCCCCCCACACTTTTTTGCTGGACTGCTGCTAGGTTACCGCTGCTCCCTTCTGGCCTGAGTCGGCAGGGCAGTACAGGGGCATAGAGGGAGCAGGTCACGACTCCTCATTGCCAGAATCATCGTCATCGTAACAGTCAGCATCCTCTTCCTCCTCGTCTTCATCATCAATATCGTCATCATACAAGTCATCATAAAGCAAATCTGAACTGTTGTCATTGGAAGGCACTTTAGTTTTGATGCAGTATTCTGCCAGCGTAGTGGGGACCTTCACACCATCCTTCTCTGCCTCAGCTTTGGTAGCCAAAACCTGTTTCCTGCAGGAAGAAGGACACAGAAACGTGAGCAGGGCCATGAGCTGGCAGCAGGGTGGCTCACCTCCCCACCTCCCAGCCAGCCCTAGACCTCCCTGCAGCTCAGAGTGGGGAGAGATGATGTTTGGCCAAAGCACCACAAGCAGCACTAGAAACAGATTTAATTCCCACAGCCCCAGGCTTAGGAGCACTCCAAGGGTGTTTGCAGCACACACGCTCTCAGAAACACACGAAATCAGTTTTTTTACAGGACTACACATTAGAGACCTGCCAGAGCTCTGAGCAAATTCCACTAAGCTTGCTACAGACGGGATGGTCAGGGATATCCCAAGACACAGCCACAACCCCAGCACTGACTGGGGCTGTCAGGAAACAAGTGTTTCCCATCACCTTTTCCCCAGGACAAGCTCTGGCTGCTGCCTCCCGGCAGCACTCGGACTGTTGCTGGCCCGTGCTGCCTCCCAGCAGGGAGAGGAGCAGATGGCAGCCTGTCCCTTCACCCCGCTGCTTTCAGTCGGTCGTACTCTATGGAGCACATCCAGCTCCGCTGAAGCCAAGGGAGCTAGAGGGGACCAAGATATCCTCCCAGCGAGGCCCTTTGCGCAGACGGACTGCCTTGCATAGCTCCAGCCAGGGGTACGTCCTGCGTGCCCGGCTAGGGGAGTCAATGCAGATGTGGTCTTGCCCCAGGCTGCCCATCCGCTGCTCTACAGCGACCTGGCTCAAGCTTATGTCATCTCCCTACATCACCTGATGAACCATGAACTGCTCAAAGGACAGTCGAGATTGAACAGTGCTTCCAGCTTTGTAAACGCTTGCCAAATCCTGCTGATATTCCTTTGAATTGGAGGGACAAGATTATGATTCATGAGTGCATTAAGCACAGAATTAGTAGGATGCAGTCAGTTTGAATCACATCCCGAGCAATGCAAGCAGCGCTCAAAGGCAAGCGGGGACTTCGACTGGGATTTACTATCAGCCAATAGGTTTTACAGAGCATCATGCCAGATTAGTCTGGAAAGGGAACAATTTAAAGACATCAGCCCAGTCCTCCTGCTGCAGAAGCTTTCACTGCTTCTGTGTGGTGAAAATCCTAGAGGGACCAGAAGCATGGACTTGGAATAAGATGGCAAAATTCATTTCCAAACAAGCAACCACAGCCAGAAGCTGGTTTCAGCAAATTCTGCTTGCAGCCTGTTGCTACCAGCCTGCTTGCAGCAGGAGGAGGTTGGTAGCACAGCATCACACAGAGCAAAGCTTACCTTATGATTTCAGCGTACTCCTTGTCCTTTCCTTTACTGTCCCTCCATTTCCTGAACATGACTGACGCATCCACGTTGGCAGGAGAGAATGTGTTGGGCTCGTTAAGCAAAGAGATTACACTCAGTAAGATAGTCCTGGAAAAGATAACCACAACAGCAGAGTCAGAGCTAACGCATTTACAGATTCTGGATGCTGATGACTTTTTTAGGTGACGCATCAGAAAGTTGTTTAAAATCAAAACTTAAGCTAAGAATAATACCTGAAGTGAGAGCAGGTATTTATGAACCTCAGACCCCGGCCATCAGCATAGGGAAGGTGATGCAATACAAACCTCGGGGATCCCAGCTGACTACAGACCATAACATCTGTGCATGTGCTTGTGACAGGGCAGCAGGCAAAGCTAGGATCAGCCCAGAATTTAGCTTGTCCACACCACCTGTGGATGGTGCAGGGCTGGAAACTGGCTTGGTGAGTGTGTTCTGGCGACATTGAGCCCCCCGGCAGAAAGCCAGGCTCTCTCCCCTGCCCCACGCAGGGAGCAGGGCCGCTACCCAAGGCCATCAGACAAGGCTGCGCTGCTTTCCCCACCCCACCGGGTGTTAAGAGGTTGAAGCTGTGAGCAGGTCTCACCTCTCCTCAGCTTGTGCATCACTAAGGCTGCTGCAGCAGCACTCAAGCACAGCAAGGGGAAGACAGTGCAGATGTTTTTCAACACCCAGGCAGCTTTGCCCAGCAGAATTTGGCTGCCGATAGTCGGCAAAGCCAGCATGAGCCAGTCCTGTAACCCCTGGCAGACAGACAGCCTTTCCTGCATTTCTAGCAGCAGCACAGAAGTAGAAAGCTGCCCCGCTCTGCTGACATTTACTGGGGAAACTCCACCTTCCTCACCCAGACCCTTCTCCTGCTTTTCCTACAACCCTGTGCACTGCAGAGATTCAGCCCCTCACTGCTCACACAGTGCCGCAACCGGCACAACTCAACAGCGAGTCCCAATGGGCGGCTCTGCACATCCAGCCACCTGCCTGTAGCTACCACCACAATAGCTTCACATGTCTGAGGTGGTCCTGCTGGCAACAGCGTTCCATTTAAATGGAAGGGAAGAACAAGAGACAAGGAATAAGTCTTGAAATACAGCAGTACCTAGCAACTGCTCTGCAGAACTTAAAGCAGACTACAGCCCCAGCTGCACTTGCATTGATTTAGGGGCACACTCAGAGCAGCACGTGCTGAGCAAGTCTACCAGATCATATATCTGGGACACAATTCCAGGAAGCGCGTGGTCATCTGGATGCAGAGTTTCTAGAAATGTTTTGAAACTAAATACTTGTGTCTGGCCAGACTGTTCAGCACAGATATCAGGAGAGTCTTATACAATTCATTTTCCAAGTTATATAATTCAGTAGGAAAAGAGAACAGCAGCTCTGGGAAAAACTGTCTGATCAGACTGGAATGATGGGCAGAAGACAGACCGTCTTCTACTTCATCTCAAGAATTCATTCAAAAGCCTTTGATTCTCAGCAAACAGGCAGTAAAGCCAGCATGTCAGCTCCAGCACCACTGCAGCAGCTTTACTGTAGGGCAGACAAAGCCAAGGGAAGGCCAAGGACAGGAATTCATGTCTGGATTTCGCATCTGCTCTACCACACTTCCATCAACAAAGAGAGGGGAAGCCAATTTCCACTGTGGTGCTCCAGACTCCAAAGTCACTGCAAAAACTAATTAAATACACCAACATAACTATCTGTTAGAGGTGAAGCTCTCTGCACTAGTCATTCCTGGACCAGTGTGTTAGATAAGCTCCATCACTGCTGATACCTTAAGAGCTGGACAGTCTGCTCCAGCTCAAACCCTGCTGCTGTGGGTAAACCAGGTGAACAAGGCACAGTAACAGCAAGGGATCCCAGCGCCTAGGATCCGACAGGACTAAAACCACTAAAAAAGTTCAAGCACGTGTGACTGAAAGCATCTTCAGCATCAAACATGAACTGCACTGGACTGGATACAGACTGACCCTCTGCAATATTGTCAGCGATCTGTTTCTCTCCCAGGTGAGGCTTTTCTAGCACATTGTTGTATGCACATCGATTGCATCAAGTAGGGATTTCAAGCCTGCCTTCTGCTTTCTTACAGCGCCCACCCCATTCTGGGGACCAGTGAGCTGTTTTAAGTGTTTACAGCACTGCCGTCTTCAGAGTGAGTCCCTCTACACCACCTTACCAGCAGGGGAGAGCAGTCAGCAGTCTCAAGGAAACAGACCTGTTAAGTGCCTTTTTGTCTCCATGTACCAACAGAAGGCTACAGATTAATTTAATCCAAACCAGACATTATGTAGACTAGCTGGTGCTCCCAACCAGCACATCCTGTTATATACCTTGTCGGAAAAGGGTATTTCTTTTTTTCCCAGCCGCTATCCACATTGTAGCCTCTCAGAGCCTCCTTTAGAGGTAGCTATAGATCTGTCCTAGCACATTTTTGCTATCCAGTATAACGCAAAAAGTTTTGGCTTAGGCTGCACTACAGTCATGTTAATGCATTGAGCTGGTTGCAGAAACTGTCCAAACCTCAGGCAGTAAGAAAACGCAACGAAAATGGGCATCCTCAGGAAACAAAGCAATGGTGAGACAAGGCATCACCTATCTTCACAAGATACAGATGTACCAACATCTTGAATATCGTGCCCAGTTTTGGCCTGTGCACCTCAAAGGACAGAGGGGTGACAGGGGAGATATGGAGAAGGGCAACTAAAATGATCAGAGAGCCTCAACTCTAAGCCCAGCCACCACCTCCTCAGCTTTATGGGACTCCAGACACGAGAAGAAGAGCAGTATTCTCTGGCACAGATCACAGCTGCACTCCTTCACATCTTGCTGGATGTTTGCCATATTTACTTACACCTGCCTCATCTCGATCTGAGTGATGGGAAAGTCCACATTGACTGTGCTTAAAAAAAAATTAATGAGTATGCTTGGCACCTTAAAGGTGGAAGCACAGGTGCTCTTGAAGTTGAAGAATGAAGTGTCTGAAGGGGCTAATATCAGCCACAGTTGTCTCTAGTAAATGGTCAATACTCAGCAGGATTTACAAATTTCCACAGCTGAAGAGAAGCCGCAGGTTACACATGCAGCTCATTACAAGCACGCTCCCCTCCCACACCTTCAGCCCTGCTGCCTCCTGTCTGGAGCCTTGCAAAGCCAGATGGGACCCCAGCAGGACCCATTTCTATCAGCACTCAGCCCAGCAGGTGATGCTGGCAGCAGGGTAGCAGTTAAAGACAAGCTTTACTTCCATTTGCTGATACAGCTGAGGAACGTTTTCTCCCTAGATGTCACCCTTAAGCCCAACACTTTTCAAGAGAGTAAGCACCAAAAATAGCACTGTGGTAAAGGACAGCAGAAATCAGAACGAGCACCATGAGAAGTGTCATGTCAGTCTTTAGAGCTGTATATAATGAAATACTCAAACTGTCTGTGCAATATAAGTAATTAATGCCCAAACCTGTTTCCTAACTGGGTTGAGGCTTGTCACCTAGTCAGTTCTTTATTGGCAGTATTTTGTAATGAGAATGAAATTCAGCTGATGCTTCAGAAAAATGGACAGGTTAGCCTTGAATGCCTCTGGTACTTAGTGATTTTTTCTTTTTCTTGGCAGGAAGAAAACTACCTGGCTAGCTGCTCAAAATAGCACACTGCAGGACAGGAGACAGACATCGGAAGGCAAACAGTAGACAGGATTATTCAAAGTTACTCCTACTGGGCTACTCCTACTACTCAGAAACGATCTTTTCCGCTAGTGGTATTTTGAGGGAGTGAGAAAAACTTAAGTGTATGATAACATGCACTGGGAAAGGCTAGAGCATTTGAGAGAATTTGCTTTGAGAGTATGAAACCCTGAGAACAGGACAGAAGGCTCCATGCCGTTAGCCCAATATCAGTACACACAGTTCTCCAGCATCTTCATACAGCTTGATGAGTCCGCTTGCCAATTGATTCAAGCCCTAAAACGCCCAAAGTCTTCAAATCCCTTCCAAACCTCTCCCAACACAGGCCTTAGTCTTGAACAGAGACAACAGGCCTTTGAGGTCACCGTTGTACATCAGATTCACAGTTACCTGACATTTTGGGTAGGGTTCCACCTCTCAGATGGCAGCTCTCCGCTTTGTGGGTCATCTACAGGTGGGTGAAGAATTGAAATACATACATCTCCATTCTGCAAGACAGAAACAAAAGTTGAGAATAGCCTGGCATGAGACAGAGGTCTGGTGACTGAACTTCAACACTGCCTACGTTCTGAGATGTTTAACCTTGTTGATATGAACACCCCAAGTGCCAGTAAAAATATGCAAGAACTGGAAACAGTTCTCAATTCTTCCGAGGTTTACTCTATTTATACACTCAAAAGTTTCCCTTGCTAAACAGGGTTAGTCTGCAAATTGGTACAAAACAATCCCAAGTCAAGAGGGACATTCTTTAAACAAATGTAGCAAAACAAGCAAAAATAGTAATAAAGTCACATAAAATTAAATTGGTCTCCAGATAGCAAGTACTGTCACAGTGATAGAAGTGAGCTTTAGTCACAGGAGACACAAAATAGGGTTAAATTATTTTTTTTTTTGTTCACAGTGGTAGCTGAGTTAGCTACAGGAATTTTTGAATTGAAGGTTTTAGCACTCTCTATTAGCTCAGGTATCAAAACAGTGCTTCTCCCGGGACACAAGGAGGTTGAACATATGGTGCGGGGCAGGCTTACACTGCTCCCCTAGGAGACAGGTGTTTGAAATACCAGGTGAAAAAGCAGGAGATGTTCTCTGAGGGTTTCACTGAAAATCCCTTCCAGCATGCAAGAAGAAGAATATTTTGGCAGCATATGGAAGCCATACAGCCACGTAATCCTCAATCTGTGTTTTACTCACCAGTGTTATAGCCTGAACATAGATTTAAAGCTCCATAATGCCTACCATTTATAAACACTGTAAGAAGCCTGTAAAACCAACTCTCCATCAGCAACAGCATTCTGACACGATTACTTTGTAGGAGTGCTGTAGCAGTATACACCACAGCTGATATTTTCCACTGAACTGGGGACTCATGGGGTCCCAATGCCTTATGGCAGGATGGGATGAAGGTGCAGGTGGGGCCCGAGGCCAGCCAGCAGATGCTGGCGTCTCCGGGTCCTGCTGGCTTGCCTCCTCTTGCAGCCAGCTGCTGGGATGACCTACAAGTTCCTAGAGGCAGCCTCAGACCTTCAGATGGCAGAGCCTCAGCTGACAGGCAGGGCTCACGCTGTCCCTTGTCACCCTGACCCAAGGCACACGTTGATGACAGGAAGAAGCGAGAAGCTGCAGATCAGCTCTGCTGAAGACTGCAGGCTGGCAGCTCCCCACGCATCTGGTCTCAGCTACATCCCGAGGACCCTCCAACGCTGCTCAGCGCATGGGAGCCAGAGCACAAAGCAGTGCTGCTCACAGTGATGGCATCCGTGCCTTTGAGCCCGAGCCAGCGATCACAGCGACAGACAGCAGCAGCTCACCTGAAGGGCCTCCCAAACATTTCAATCCACCTTCATTAACAATGACATTTGTTTTATAGCCAAACAAGATCCTACTTCAACACTGGAGGCTTGTGATGAATGTCCAGATTTCAGTGGCTCACTAACCTGTCAGGTATGCAAATCTAGCAAGCCCTTGTCATTTTGAAGCAGGTTTTTTTTTTTTGGTCAAGAACACAACTACGCACAGCAATGTAGCACCTGGATCTGCTGAATACCTAAGTATGCACTTATATTGCTGGAACAGTTTGCCCTAACAAGGCAGTTTCTTTTTTAGGACACAAACAGGCTTGTGCAATCTAGAAATATTTTTTAACATCATTTAAAGGTGAAGTTAACCTTCCTAATGTTAGATTAGGTTCAGCCTATTCTGGTTTTATTAACAATTTCGATAAGAAACATTTCAATCCACCTTCATTAACAATGACATTTGTTTTATAGCCAAACAAGATCCTACTTCAACACTGGAGGCTTGTGATGAATGTCCAGATTTCAGTGGCTCACTAACCTGTCAGGTATGCAAATCTAGCAAGCCCTTGTCATTTTGAAGCAGGTTTTTTTTTTTTGGTCAAGAACACAACTACGCACAGCAATGTAGCACCTGGATCTGCTGAATACCTAAGTATGCACTTATATTGCTGGAACAGTTTGCCCTAACAAGGCAGTTTCTTTTTTAGGACACAAACAGGCTTGTGCAATCTAGAAATATTTTTTAACATCATTTAAAGGTGAAGTTAACCTTCCTAATGTTAGATTAGGTTCAGCCTATTCTGGTTTTATTAACAATTTCGATAAGTTTAGCCAGTTTTTCCTTTAACCATTTCCTGGGAGAACGCAGTGCTGGTGGCCAGGAGAAAGCATCACAGTACTTGGGGGAAGTTCCTTGAGCAACTAGGTCAGCAGCATGTGGAGAAGCAAATATTTAGCAATACGAAAATGCAGAGGGAAGCAAGGATGTGAGAAGTTTCCCTCTTGCAACAATCAGTCTTACCATGCTTGGGAAATTAAGCTGGGCAGCACTGCATTACAGAGTCTGGAAGGGTAAAGGTATCATGGGGCCTGATGAGATCAGCACAAGGTTTTAGGGATCACTGTAGTCAACGGGAGAGCGTTTCCCCACACACATTTTTGAAACATATAAACAAGGAAGACAGGGTATTCATCTACCAATAGGGAATAGCCTATATTTCTGTTAGGACTGAGAACTGTTATGCCACAAAAATAAAGTACAAGTGAACACAGTTTCACCAGAATTCAACCAGATAACCTAAGTAAACTGGAGATGGGGAAGAGACAAGTTACTCAAGTTTCATTGCTTAGAACTGGAACGTCAGCCCCAACCTCTCCATCTGGTCCCACCAACAGATTCTGTAAACTGCTACTTTCTTTCATCTTCCTTGCATTAAAAGATTTTTTTTTTCCTCCTCCTGACAAGCCCTCAAACCTCAAGCCCTTTGCTGATTTATTTTCAGTTTCATTTGGAGTTATCCCAGTGCCTTATCTTCATTGCTTAAATGTTGTTTCCAAAACAGCCTGCAAGCTGCTTCAGGTTCCCTCAGCTCCAAGAAATACTGCTACGAACACAAAGTACAAAGCTGAGACCTGGAGTATTTGAAGAGTAACCCCAAAATACAGCCATCAAGTTTGGGGTTAGTTTCTCCTCCTACCTTCAGTTCTTTCTATAGCCAATTTTTCATCTTTCCCACCAGGACTGGGAGAGGTCCTTTCCAAGACTCGTTTTGTACATACCATTTTGGCAACCATTTCTCACTCACCTCCTGCATGAGAATTTCTGGATTCAGAACAACATCCACAGTATGGATCTGCAATAGTCTGCAGGTCTCAAAGTAGTATTTATAGATCAAACTCCCATGTAACTGAAATAGAGCCTTAAAGAGAAACACCATCCTTGGCTACATGCAAGATTCTCTGCAAAGTCCAAAATTCAAGTCAGAAGACTGTGAGATGACTGATTTCCCTGGGCTTAAGGGAGTCCTCCTGAGCATCCAGTAATTAAAGCTGGTTACTATTCTGTTTCACACTGAAGTTTGGAAAGGCTTTTGGCCATTTATTAGTAAGCTATCACTGCTGATATCTGAAGCACACTCATTCCAGGCTGGACATTTAGGAGCAACAACTCTTTGAAAAGGGCCTTCCAAGCCCAAGGCATCAACTGAAGCCATCATTTGTTCACAGCAAGGAAGAGAAGTGGCATTGCTGTTTTGAGGTGGGCCCAAAGGAAGCCTGCAGAACCTCCCATAGGAAGACCTGTGATAAAGTGACAGAGCTGCACCAACAGGAACATTTTGTAAGGCCTTTAGCGGCTCAGACTACTCAACCAGTAGTCCTAGCAGGCTGACACTTGGCTAGGATATCCAAAAACTTAGTAAGGATTTGATTGTCCTCCACTAAAAGTGAAATTTTGAGCTAAAACAGGCCTTCAGCTTTCAAATACAGCTCTGAAATTCGGTAATTTAGAACCAACTGCTTCTACATAAAATAATAATTCTTCTGGCCCTGCTATGTAGTTGTACCATGATCCAATTATTGACCTGATAGCCTACAGTAGTATGCTCTGAACGTGACCCATACATGCACTGAAGTAAGGGCCACTTCAAATTGGCCAGCCAATGGCCCGGGACCTGTTCCACTTGACTTCAGGTTACTCAAAGCACCCTCCAACCTGGCCTTGAACATCTCCAGGGACAGGGCATCCCCAACTTCTCTGAGCAACCTTTTCTAGTGCCTCACCACCCTGACACTAAAGAGTTTCTTCCTCCTACCTAATGTAAATCTCTCCTATTCCAGTTTAAAACCATTACCCCTCATCATATCACTACACTCCCTGATAAAGAGTCCCTCCCCATCTTTCCTCTAGGCCCCCTCTAGGTACTGGAAGGCTGCTAGAAGGTCTCTCTAGAGCCTTCTCCAGGATATGCAACTCCAACTCTCTTAGCCTGTCCTCACAGAAGTGCTCCAGCCCTCTGATCATCTTTGTGGCCCTCCTCTGGACTTGCTCCCACAGGTCCATGTCCTTCATATGTTTGGGGCCCCAGGAGCTGGATTCAGTACTCCAGGTGGGGTCTCATGAGAGTGGAGTAGAGGGGCAGAATTATCTCCCTCAACCTCCTGGCCATGCTTCCTTTGATGCAGCCCAGGATGCAGTTCGCTTTCTGGGCTGCAAGTGCACATTACTGGCTCATGTTGAACTTCTCATCCACCAACACCCTCAAGTCCTTCTCATCAGGGCTCCTCTTGATCCATTCTCCACCCAGCCTGAATTTGTGCTTGGGATTGTCCAGACTCATGTGCAGGACACTGCACTTGGCCTTGTTGAATTTCATGAGGTTGGCATGGGCCCACCTCTCAAGCCCGTCCAGGTCCCTCTAGATGGTATCCCTGCCCTCCAGCATGTTGACTGTGCCACATGGCTTGGTGTTGTGGCAAACTTACTGCAGGTACACACTGTCCATGTCGCCAAAGATTGTTAAACA